TGCGAAGTTAATGGGTCAAAAATGAAGCACACGTTCTATTTAGTTGACCCTCCGTGAAAATCTGTTCATTCTTCGCTCCCCCGCTCTTCGTTTATGATTCAACGGCCGATTCGCATATACTTTCTGCCATGTTTACCAGACCGTATGAGTCAGCCTCGGTGATACTGCGGATTGAGGTGCACCAATAACCTTTATTGAAGCGGTTGACTATTGAACAGTGGATCAGCCGATTTATCCTCTTTAGTTCGATCGTAACTGCTAGAACATTTGGTTTGGTCCCCGTAATCTAATGCTGGGCACTGATGGTGCGTGAGTCGGCTGAATTCGTTAGAGGAGAGGACGTACGTGGAAACGACAGCCAGTGCTGCGTTAGTACGAATGTAGCAGTTAGTGATCACGTCTCCATCCCTCGGATACTACTCCTCATTTATCCTGTTTAGTTCACGATAAGAGTTGGTGTTAACCCAAAGACGTTAACGATGACCGTAAACATGTTTACTGATGTATCCGAAACTTAATGGTAATCGGCAATGTCGGTTGACCAAGCACGACCAATAAAACGAATTCGACCCACTCATAAAGATCCCTGAGTCAGTTCAATTTTTACTCGGTTCTTCGTCATGGATGCCTGGCAACCTTGCATTCATCGGTCTTCGTCATTAGTTTATTGACTCTGTTTAACCTCAGGCAATTTAACCATACACATTCGTTTCACTCATTGTTGAGTACTGGCTGCCTGGCATGGGTGTTAATTCGAGTCTTGTGGTAGCTAAATGCACTGTATTCATGGTTTGGATCAACGCGACTTGGAATAGTATACGGAAAGTTTTCATAGAGTGCTCTTCACTGGAATGGACCGCCTAGGCTAAGACCCTCTACGATTGCAAGCGCATATGAGGTGAAGTGGAAGTTTTTGAATTTTTTAACACTGTGAGTACTAATTGTCCGTGTGTTGTCTGATATCTGATGGGACATGCATTCTAAGATTCGCTGACTTATCGAAGCTGAAGTGACTAGTTTTGAGCTAATCCAGTTCGTGTTTATGTATGAAGTCTAGCAGCACAGATGTACCGGCGTACGTACAAGTTAATCAACACTGAAAATGTCCGAAAAATTTCCGAAACAAACTTTTACGCTACACAGCTCCAAATTAGCCATATTCTGTCCTGTACTAACTGAAGTAAATTTGAGGTGGTGAAATTGGCTAAACAGTGGCACACACTTGGGGACAATTTGGTTTCTCTCATGGTTGTTCCTTAATAAGGGGTTTTGCTACATTTATATATTTTCTATCTTATATGTCCAGTAATTTTATGATTGACCACTGTGTATTCCGATCATTTGTTGTCCAAGCGAACTTTCAACCATTACGCATAACTTAACTTGATTGAGTCGGGCTCATTCCACCGTCTACCGTACCTGTTCATGTATTTTCGCCACCTAATATGGTATCACTATGTGTGGGCGTTCACTGATGTGCATGAACTACCTCAGCAGCCGAAGTATCACTATTCTTTTTATTATTCTTTCCTGTTTGTAGATTGGGTGCAGGTGGTTTAACTTACTCCGAAATGGATCAGGCCATTAATCTTCACACCGGCGGGCTGGATGTGACAACCCATGTTACTCCTTCACTTCCCACCCTTGAACTCCCTGATAAAAGTCTTATGATGTCCACTACACGGCCAAGCATCCATCTGTCTGGCTATTGTCTGACATCCAAGCTTCCTAATTTTTTCGAACTGTACTCCAATCTACTTCAAACTCCAGACTGGCTCGACAAACAGCGTTTGATGACTTTGATTCTCATGTCAGCTTCGGGAGACTGGTCAGCTAACGTTGTCGCTGATTCTGGTTTGTTTTCTGTTTGATGATGACTGTTGCACAGTTTTGCGTTGCTTTTTGGCTGAGACGGTTTGTGATAGTACTCACGTCTTGGATTTGTCCTTACTTTATGTAGTCAATCTTACTACTCACAAGTCAAGCTTACAGTATGATACCTATGCTCACCAGCAGTCGAGTGGAATACTACTCCGAAAAGAGAAGTCATCCGGCCTCTGAATATGACGTCCCCTGTATATATCCACTGAACCGTCAGCACTTCGTCAATGAACCTTCAGCCTGCGGGTATCTTCAAGTGTTTTGTTAGTATGCGATATAATGTTATCCCATCAGACTGAATGCTCTAGGATCTAGAACACCGGTTTAGGTGCTCGAGAACCTCACAGTTAAGATATACCAGTACGTTGACAAGATGGCATGCCTAATGACTACCCAGTCGTCGACATCTTAGTACCTACGACATGTTGGTTTTTGAGCTTAGCAGCCAGACCCGGACGAGGTCCATAGGGGCTTATTGTACTAGGAAGTAGATTAGCCCTATTGTATCAGATAGGTTTTGTAAACAGTCGGTGGATTTGTAGCTGTTTCAAACGCGGTTGATATCGAGGCATCGTTTTGTCTTATTTGTTTTATCTTTTCTGTGTGAATACATTTCGTTATTTAAAAATGTCCCGATAAATGCCTAATATTTAAGTCTCAAAGTGCCCGATGGGATCTTATCGTATGTGTATAATGCCTGGTTGACGGGTTTCGAAATGGTATCCAGACACCATATCAAGTTAACTCCCTTAATATTCTATGGTGTTCTGGGATGGAGGAACAGTACTGGTTGTTCTTCAACAATAATAATCGTTCAGCTGTAACACCCTTTCGGTGCCCAGCTGCCATGCCACCCGAAGGAAACACGAGGGCTGGGATACCACCAGGTTGCCCAAGACAAGAGCAGCCGAGATGCTGAGGTTGGGTTCAAACCATGAACCTTCCGGTCAGTAAATTCGCGCTCGAACTACAGCCATGTTGCCCCTGATTTTTCTTACTGAAGCCTCGGTCGGTAATCCTGAGCCAGTCGCGGAGGAGATCGTCATTAACATTTTTCCGGAGGGCTAGATAACTCAACTATTTCGGAAACCAGTAAGAGTCTCGCGTCTCTCGTTCTGGAAGGTATGTTTCAACGGGATGCATAACAATGAAAAAAATATTCGACTTGGTAATAAGCGAGTCTCTGTAAAAGTGCAACTACATCGAGACATTTGGTCCCCCTATGCAGCACTGATTGCACTGGCAATAGTGGTACTGCAAACGAGGTTGCACTTGGACGCTCGCCGTAGCATGCGAATATTTCCTGTCATATTAAATACATTTATCTCCGACCGGCCACATCTACCTGGGACTAGCACAGTTTTTATCATTGCATTAGTCATACACTCCTTAGGAAGCGCAATTGGGAAGCGACGGAACTGACCAATAGTGGCCGGTAAGCAGCGGCATTGTAGTAGCGGGATGCTACCTGATTTTTATTCGGTGAGACCCTTCGGTGATTTCTTAGGTGTTAGTTGGCGATTGTTTGACGTACCGCATCAGTCGGATTGAAGCATTCTTGGTGGGTAGTGACCACTGTTTGGGTAATTATTTTCTCCCATTGCTTGTTGTTTAGCAGCGTTTGGAATGTTGAAAGTAGCGTTCTTTGTCTCATGTAACCATCACAGAACTTGGAACGCCTTTATTGTTCACCCATTCACTCCTTTCATTTAAAATTTCCATACTGATTAGAACCTTTAACCCTTCATCTCACTCTAACGTCCATACTAGACTTTCTCAAAAAAAGTCGCGATAGTTCCCTCAGACTGATCGTTTGGGTCATTGGGGATGGGTATGTTAATTATCCTGTGGTACGAAACTACCTTCGATGTAGTTGATATTTTGGCAGCCTTTATTAAGGATATCCTGTCCTTTAATGTCGTTACAAATGGAGTACTTGTAGCAATCACTAACCCCACTCAGGTGGAGGCCTCTACAGTTTACACAGTCAATAAGAACTGGGAACTGTCAACGCTTACATCTTGTTTCAGTGTGAAGTGCACCCCCTATTTCGATTGACATGATGTTTCACGCACACATACCTGCGTTTCCGTCCCCAGCTCATCATTTTGCCATGCGGCGCGCTGCAGCCAATCTATCAGCGTCTGCTCGAATAACGGAACTTTGGGATGGGCTCGAGCAGGCTTCTTTGGTCAAACGAATCGCAAGCAAATTGGGCAAAGATAGTGCGGACTCAGATAATGTGCTGTCTGATCTTACACAGCGCATGCTATCCATTTGGAAGCACATCATACAACCGGACCGTTTAAAGTGAGCCGTTTTAATATAGCTTAGTTAAGATTCTTCGTTGTTTACACTTAGTTCCTTCCACTATTATTCTCGCATATCAGTGTTCCTTGATAGGTCGTTCGCTTCCTTATTTGCAGGTTCAGTTTGCATGGTGAATCAGATGGTCTCTCATCGAGTCTTCCCCACCTGGAGCAGTTGGTCTCGGCGCTCTCAAAAATACCCCACGATAACTGCATACCCACCGGGGCAGCTGACACCTTGAATTCTCTCCCCAAGCTACCTCTGAATTCTTACTTTGCCATGCCCTTCACAGTCCACTATGCAGCACAAGCGTTTCGCGCTCCGTCGTACGATTCTCCGGAGTATGCGTCGTAAGTCCCTCTGTATCCCCGTGTATTTGGTCTCTTGAGTGATATCCAGTTTCAAGTAATACTCTGATAAACCAGTATGGAAGGTTATTTTCTTGCAACCGTCCACACTTGCATTAGTCGTCCCGGACCGTGCAGATTGTACCCATCAAGTAGGCGAGCTCTGTTCTGAGGGGAGCAAGGTCAGTTTTGGTCAATAAACACCAATGGGCTCCGAATCATAGTGATCACGCACGTTATACCATCGGGCTAAGCACACAAGATAGGTAAGTAAGCTCACCCTGTACCACCTACGGATGGTCCGATGAACAGCGACTACAATACTATGGGTACCTTTTCACAAAGACCATGAGGTTTTCCGATCTGATACATATATTAGATTCACTTCAACTAAGGCACACGCTTGTGCACACGTTTTTCCTATGATCATCCCCATCAAACTAAAACGGAAGTTGCAGACTGTTCAACTCTTTGTCGGATAACCGCCATCTGATTATCCGAAATAGTGGTTTATTAACTGTTTCGTGTTTTGTGCTCGCCATATTTAGCGAAATTTTTATGGACCAAGCGTTAGGCTATACGCCGAGTAATGGAATTCTGGGGATTGAATCGTTCGCTCCATGCGCTTCTGAACTTCTGCGATCCACTTCACTTTTGCGAACTTCACGGATAAAGATACCAGAAGAAGCATCCAGTATACATAGGCCGGCCCGGACCAACACAACATTATATTTTACTGTCTTGTATATTTTGGCTTACTTCAGTCGCTTTAAAACACATCGCTGGGAAGCAGCCATGACAAACAGCCATGCTTATTGATTGCTCATGAAGTTTTGAGTTGATCTGAGGATGTGATGTGTTCGCCAGACCAAAATATCCACACTGGTCGTTTCACTTATCTTCTTGTAGGTTCTCTTTCTTCCGGGGGTCACCCAACCCGAAGAACTGCTGTTCTTCGTAGTTGGCGGACCGCCATTATACGGCAGCTGAGGGAAGCAGCTCTATTGGGACTACACCATGTGCCCTATGTTTAAATTGGTGACGCTTCTTGTGAGATTTGTGCTGTCTTAATGTGGTATCTTTTTTCTTGCTTGAGAGGCGTACTAGCGAGGCGAGATCCGAAACATTACAATGCAGTGTCGAGATGTTGGGGCTGAGGTTCATGAAGGCTGTTGTAAGTAGGTTGTTCTAAATAAACATGTAATTTACAAGAGTAGAGTGATTTGTTTTGGAGTTCTGAGAAGGGATTTAGAGGTCTAACGATCTTACATAACCCATTACGTAACCCATTATGTAACACAGTTTTTGAATAAAGATCTTGATGTGCGGTTACGAACTTTGTACCGGGCTACAAACGAAGTATTCAGACAATCGAAGACGTCGCAAACACGGGGTGTGGCTGCATTATCCCGCACCACCCACGACACTTCAGAATTCAGGATGTTTCGCGGATTTATTCAGTGGCCAATCTGTTTACGTTTTCTGGTGAATTCCGGGGCGTTTGTGAGGACCTAAAACCGGTCGGCCAATAAACAGGTGTGGATAATTTATAGCACCAGACCTGGAAAATGTATGCAAACGAGGGATTAGTGGCTGGACAGCAGGCTTATTCGGCATGGTTAAAACCGACACGTTGGTAGAGGCTTAAGTGGTGAATACTGTGAAGACGAGGTATGGCGACTTTGTAGACAATAGTCGGGTGGAATAGCCGATTGGCATGACGGAACTCCAGTTGAAACACAATCAGACGCAGCTACTACTACTACTACTACTAATAATAATAACAATCGTCCACCTGTAACACCTTTTCGGTTCGTAGCGGCCATGCCACCCGAAGGAAGCACGACGGCTGGGATATTGCTAGGTCTCCCAAACCTAGACAGGAGAAGTGGAGATGCATAGGTCGGGTTCGAACCACGGACCATTCGGTCAGTAAAGTCGCTCAGCTAAGTCAGAGCTGATATAAGAAGAGCATGGTCATGATGTACTCTACGAACCACAAGCATCTGATGAGAGGGGGAGGGGTCCACCTGTACACCTTTTCGGTTCGTAGCGGCCATGCCACCCGAAGGAAGCACGACGGCTGGGATATTGCTAGGTCTCCCAAACCTAGACAGGAGAAGTGGAGATGCATAGGTCGGGTTCGAACCACGGACCATTCGGTCAGTAAAGTCGCTCAGCTAAGTCAGAGCTGATATAAGAAGAGCATGGTCATGATGTACTCTACGAACCACAAGCATCTGATGAGAGGGGGAGGGCCGAATTACGCCATTCGGTGAGGAGTTAGGGTTGACGAGATCCTTTTTAGACGTGGTCACAGTATATTTCAGGAATCACGGACGTCTGGGCTACAGGATTTATACCACTTTATCCTCCATGGTTACCTACCGTGGTGCTTATGTTCGAAATCACCTGTCCTCTTACTTTGTAAATAGGTATGAGGACCCAGTGTATACTCGTAAAAATCCCAAAACAATATTTGTATTCTTTTATTCCTTCCTTTTTTCAACAATGTCATCTCATATTTAGTAAGAGCGATCTGAAGTCCCATATTCACCATGGTTGTTGGTGACCAAATGCTATTTACCTCCAGTATTTGGCTTATAATGCTGTATACTCATCGCACCTGTGTTCCCTTTCTGTAGATTCCGAGTGCTTTCGCACCTTTTGACGTCCAAATATCTCCACAGGGAAATACGGTATGTTATTTGATTGACGTATTGCTACTCATGATGGGTGCGGCCTACATGTTCCGCATCAGCATGCCAAGTAGCCATGCTGCTGTGCAGAGACAAAGTGGTTGACGTTTGATCTTACCTGTTCTCATACCATGCTTGTCTGCGACCATCTAATCATCTTGGGTCTCCTTGCAAGGCCTTGTCTTTTCTGTCATATGTCGTTCCAGCTGGAGTGTTATATTTCAGTTAGGATTACTTGTATAAGATCCGCTTATTCCACTTTACTTGTAAGTAACTTTCTCTTGCGACAGGATGAGCTGGCCTTAGAAATGCCCTGCTCACTAGCGACGATCTTCTGTCTTCTGCACAGGTGGTGACTCAGCGCTAGTTCCCGTGGTGGAATCCGTGCACTATTTATGATTCTGAATTCCGCCTTGTCTCTTGAGAATGGTTCTACGAAATCTCTCGTAGACCAACCAGGATAATGTGTCGAGATGTCGTTAGCTCGGGTGAGTTTATTGGCTGTTGTTCAGGTGGCTGTTGGTCTGTTCCCCAAGCTTGCCAATAGACTTGCAAAGGTTTCGTCACCATACGAGGAGATACCATCAGTGCGTAGTTGGGTGGGTATCTTCTGTTTCCCTGCGTGCGTTTACGTAACATTTAAAGGTTATCTGTTATCTCCTAACGTGATTGGCTAGTGGAGTGGCAGCGATTTTCGTGAATTTATTGATCCGTTTGTGATCTTTGTCGCGCTGTGGTTTGCGTTGCTTTAAGTCGATTGGCCGTCCCGAATCCTATTTTTAGTAGTTCCTCCTCATTTTGATTGACCTCCTCCACGATTTGCATTGCGTTGTGATCTGATTTTTCTTTCTCGGGAGTGTTGCCTAGGTACTCAGGCAATAAGACAAAGTACCAAATTAACCGGCGGACTCACAACGCTAGTCGATATAATGGTGGGAATAGGATGGTGCAGCCAACCGAACTCTGTCGAAAAGGCAACTCACAGAAGCTGAATAAAACGTTCTCATCAAAAACGTCAACTTCAACTTCAAAGAGGCGACAAACCTAGAATATCTAGTCAGCCTGCAAGCAGCGGCGAAATCTATCGGGCTCGACGAAAACGCTCAACAACAACTTCGGCAATCCACCATTCCGGTCATCACTCGCAGCAAGCCATACAGCGTGTTTTCTGACAATGTAGAGGAAGCAATGTATGATCTGAAGAAGGATGAAAACATAGTGATTCCACCAACAGACAAGAGACGCCTAACGGTGATGTTAAAAAAAACCGGACTACATGATCAAAGCGAAAGCGGTACTCACCGACTTAACCACGTATCGCCGCTTGCAACGTGACCAAAGCAGGCAACTAGGAAACAAAGCCAATAGGAACTTAAAGAAGCTCTAAGATCTCTACAAGATTACAAAAGAAATATTGGAGAATGAAAGCCCGGGATTCGGCCACTCCCCGCTTCCACGGACCCCCAAAGGTACACAAAGAAACAATGCCCCTCCAACCGATAGTACCACTCCCGGGAATGGCGAGCTACAATCTTTCGAAAGAACCATGGAAGAAGTTGTAACATCTCTTCGGTGGATCTTTACACTCAACCAACAATGCGGGACAACTTTTGGAGAGACCGAAGAACGTCAACATCGATCTGGATGAAATAATGGTTTCTCTTGATGTGAGCTCATTGTTCACGTCTGTAGATGTCCATTCTACCAAGACGACTGTGGCCGAATTGTTGGGTAACGGCGATATGCCAACTGGATCGCTGGAGAAGAAGGACTTCTCCCAATTACTCGACTTATGTTTGGTCGCTTATTTCGATTTCAGTGGAGAATGTTCCGAAAAACTACGAGGGACACCCATGGGGTCGTCAGTTTCAGGACTTACTGCAGAAATTCTGATACAAAAGCTGGAACAAATTGTATTGCCCGATATAAATCCCAGAGTACGAATCCGTTACGTGGACGACACTTTTGTGATAATCAAAAAGAACGAACTGCAACGATTATGCCTACTGCCAACAACGTTTTTGACCACATCAAATCCACACCCGTAGAAGAGAACAACGGAAAACTGGCACTTCTGGACATCCTGATCACTAGATTATCAAGCGGACATCTAAAAAGTGAGGTCTACAGAAAAGCAACGCACGGACGAAACTCTGAGCTACCGCAGTAACCATCTAAATTGTCACAAACAAAGCTGCATTCGGACACTTTTCAAACGGATGGGAACACATCGCAGCACAACAGAATCCAAGAATAACGATGAAAGTCGTTTGTACAAATGGTCTCAGAGAAATGGGTACCCGAGGAATTTCATCTGGAGACCACCCAGAAAGCGAAACCTGACTACGATGACCTCACAAAGTGGAAACAAACGAGTCGCACTCCCGTACATCAGGAACACCGCCAAAATTACCGCAGGGCACAACACGACGGTGGCTTACAAACCTGTGAACGTTCTGCGGAGGACACTATCGAACCCGAAAGGACAATAAGATTCCATGATGAAGAAGAATGTCATACACAGGATCCCATGCAGAGCGAATTCATGGAAACATGGTATTCCACCGAAGAAGCTATGAACGGGCATATCTAAATTGACCCTATTTATCAATCGCTAAGAGCAAGAGAACACAAGAACCACGTAGCTCGGAATTGCACAGGCAACCAGACGAGGAACTCGCAAAAGAAGCAGGAGATCCTATCTAAACAGACGACTTGGATCGGAGAAAGTGCCCAGGCAGTAAGCCAAAGTACCAAATTAACTGGCGGACGCAAGAACGCCGGTCAATACAATGGGAAGAATAGGGCGGTATAACCAGCCAAACACTCCTGAAAAGGAAAAAATCAGACCACAACGCAATGAAGATCGTTGAGGCAAATGAAAGCGGGGAAGAAAACTACTAAAAATGGAAGGCTTCGGAATGATCAATCGACTGATGGTGTCTCCTCGTATGGTGACAAAACGTTTGCAAGTCAATTGACAAGCTCGGTGAACAGACCAACAGGCACCTGATCAATAACCAACCAACCAGGAAAGTTTATGTCTCTTCCCAAATCTTGTCACAAGAGAGATTGCTGTCACTCTATCAACCCACCTACTGGATTTCGGGACAGCGTTGCTTTCTTCTTCATTTACAATCTATGCGGCTATTATCCATATTCCTATTTTTTGGATATTTACTACGTATGTTTCAGAACAAATTACAGTTTCATGTCACCGTGCTCGGGTTGGCCGCGTTTCTGTGCGCTTACCCGTGCAATCCGGTCTCTGTCAGCAATATTAACCCACGGCCGGCTCAGCACGAATCATGTGATACACTCCACAGGCACAGGTACCCAGCCAAGCCAATCGGCATCGGACATCGACCAGTCTAGGAGAAGGCATGGCCACACGAAGATATACAATACTATAGAGTACTATTTATTCTGGTTACTTATGAGTAGTTAAGACGCACGTTAACCGCAGTCCATGCCCATGTCCGAGAAACCACATACTACTCGCATGTCTCACCAGTCCAGTAAGCCATTACAGTCATACTATTATCACTAGGTAGCTCGAGGCAACCAAGTGGTTATGGCGCGAACAAACTGATCGGGAGAAGGACATCTCGACTGCCATTGCTAGGCTTAAGCACCCTCCTAGTACCTTGGCTCCGGTGCTTCCTTTTGGATGGCATGGCATATAGGCACCGAAGGATCGCCTTTTATATTTGCATTTTATTGGAGATAACTGGAATACGAGAACTTATGGATATATTCTCTGTGAGTCGTTGTCGATTGGATCAAATAAGTATGTTGCTTGTGGACTGCTGAATGTCATGAATCCCACCCTCCGCAGTTTTCAGTCTGGGTGGTTTGTCGCTTTTATGGTGGTATCTGGTCTGTTGTGAGCCACACAATCGGACTTATCAATGTCACTGGCAGGTATTATCTGTTGGTCAAATCACTTGTGGTGAAGTAAGCCTGTCGGAAAGCAAGTTCATTTGGTAAGCCTTCGTCTGGCGAGCAAAATGCCGGTCATCCCTGCCGTTTTTTTCATTCATGTGCCTGGGTATCTCGCTTCAAAATTATAGATACATGCTTTCCTGTTATTACCTCAGTACGGTAGTCTAGTTAATTGGTTTTGTTTCGTATCAAATGAACGTTATGGTGTGGGAATTAAGCCATCACAGAGTCCTGGTAATTCTGGTTTATTGGTTAACTGTTTCTCGCAAGGAGTTACGGGATTTGTTACCTGTTTGATTATCCCATCTGAAGAAGCACTTTCCAGTTTCTTCGTCTAAAGCCATAGTTGGTTGGTTTGCTGGTTATTCTCATCAGAGAACTTTTGATTTTCCCAGAAAACACGCCTATCCACGACGATACCTCCACTGCAGGAACATCCCTCGTGTGGTCATCCCTGTATGATGGACGATGGCATTTCACATGCAATTTGTATTCCCCTCACCAACTACACTCTTCCTCCGAAATTGCAAGGTTTGGATTACACCACTTGAAGTGTAAAGCTATTTTCGATCATTCTTATAACCAGTGGCTGTGTCAACCATGTCGAACGAACAAACACTTAAAATTTAGACCCGCGTAACTTTCATCCGTGCTAAGGTGGACTTTGCCCTGAAGCTGTGCTGGACATGTGTTACTCGGCTACTATTTTCTCTTCCAACGTTAACCGACCCAACTGGTCCCCGCTGCTGCTCACTCCTAAGGAACTACTGATCCGGATTTGATAGGAATAATCGTAGATTGATCTTTCAGTGGCTGGTTCAATTCTTTAGGATCACATCAGTCAGGGAACTCTTATTTTTGCTCATTATTCTGTTTGAAATTTTTTTATTTGCGCCTTACCTTACGTTGTCAACTGTATGTGATTAACGAAACTGGGCAACTCTTTAATTTTAAACGTTGACTTTTTCGTGTGATTGTACTCTGTCTATTCTCCGATTTTTGGAGCTAAATTGATGTGCAGCAGCACCAATAATTTCTCTATCGAGATTGCCTGTTAATCTTATCCTGTTTACAGGGAGAAAGGTGGCGCATATGGCGGGCGAGCCAGTGCAAAGCCAGAAGCTTTGCTATTTTTCTCCTACCGGTAAGTGTTCTGACTACAGCCCTTCCTTAGTGGATATTGGTTTACACAGCTTTGCTCCTGTTAGTGATAGCGCCAAACTTGAAAGTTGACCGGTTTCCAGTGGTGGTTTTGTCGTCATCGTAGCGTCGTCACTTATAATACCATCCCTGTTCACACCTTTACATTAGCAGGCTATGGTTGACCTTGTGTGTGTATGTGTGAGGAACTAGTCATTCGCAGGCTATTTTGGGATGACGGATGCTAACACGCCGTCGTTTATGCGCACACTTTGAGGTCAGTTTCATTGATTGAGGCGCTAATAAGAGGGCCAAACTTCGCCGCATCTGAGTTCGTATCGAAAATTTTCTTAGATTAAGATTATGCCAGGCGTTTCGATACTTAGTGCACCAATATTTTTACCCTCACTTTCGTCCTGTTAATAGAGCGTGACATATTTCGTTATAATATGCTCCTCCAAGTACGAGTGTATATACCTGTATATCTTCTTTATTACCTTATTTATTTATCCGTTAGGGCTACTCTTCTTTTTCTGTCTGTTGGCTATTGCACGCTGAGGTTCACCTCAATTTTGTCGAGCCTGAATAGTTTTTGAGCACTTAGACAATAGTTTCAGGATCGGTGATATGTAGGATGCTTGGTCCTTATCAGTAAGTGGTTTCTTGCTAACGCTGCATATTGTGCTCTGTTCTCTATTCCGCTCCGCTAGGGATCCACATGCTCGTCGTACCCTCGATATATTCCGGTCGGCACTTGACTGGGCTCGTTCAACTGAGTTCAACACACAGGACATTGATGAAGCGAAGCTTGCCGTATTTCAAGAGGTTTGTTTCAAGCATTATGGGGACGCATACGCATTTTTTATTTGTCAGGGAATAGAGTTCTATTTACTGTGTTAGTAGACGTAGGTCTGGCTGATTGACTATCCTCTTGCAAACAACAGCACACGCACACTTAGGGCATGCTGCACACTGTACCTGATGGCTTCTAACATCTCTCCGGGTCATATTAAACCATCGCAAGATGATTTATTCGGCATCTCGTGGAATAAAACTTGGATAAACGTTTCTCTACAGCGATCGTATTGCCTCCTCCCGAAGTTATTAAGATGACCGAAGACTTCTCGCGTGCGGCCAGTACTGTGCTTCTTGTACAGACTAGGGCCCCCTGCTCAGCTTGTGAGACATTCAATAGATGCCTTCCATAGGTATGAACACGTGAGTAACCTTCAGGTTTGTTGGTTTATATTCCCCAGATTAGCCGAAATCAGAAGCTTAACTTCACTGTCATTTTGTGTGTGCGTGTGTGTTCGTATGGTCAGAGCACGGATGAAAACAATTTGAACGACCGAGAAATGTATCTGAAGTTGGAAGTCATGGTGAACAGGACGAACACAAAAGACGTGTGACTGGGTTTATTCGGCCAAATAGTCTCCGTTATGCTAAATCCCCCATAAAGGATGTGCAATTCGGTCAGTCACTGGCTTGCAATGACAAGCCGGGGTGAATGCATTGTTTGGCTTTGTTGCCCATTCAGCAATGAAACACACATAGGTTTCTATCAATTTCACTTATCCGTTCTGGGTCGCATCATTTTGTATTTTGCTGACTGAATGTTGCATACGCTTGTATGCCGTCTGAAAATAAATTGAAGCAGAACCATCTCTACATGCTATCGTTGATGGATTCCTCAGTTACATTCCAGCTTGGAACAACGCGCCGCACAGGCTGTGCTGGACTCTGTCGCAAAAAACCAGAATCACAGTTTCGGTTCAAGTGTCTCTGATTTACCACATGATTTACAAGGAACAAGTCTTGAGGTCTATGCGTAATTTTATTTGCTACCCTTTGAGAATCGCGTCCTGGTGAATCCACGATAAATCTACGGATTCTTTCAAAGTTTTCCAAATCAGCGGATGTCCTGTGTACGTTGTTCCAGGTGAACCGTGTGTTGACAACAATGTGATCGGGAACTTCTAACGGCGCATTTAACATGCAATGTTTGCATGTGTCCCAGGAAAAGTAGCGGCGCTAGAGCCAAACTTCGTTTCCTTTTGGGAGATAGGGCTTTTGTTGTATCACCCTGTCCATGGTTCTTTAGGTTGATTATTGGTGAAAAAACGCAATCTAAAAACTCGTTTGATCCATTCCTTGGGGAGTTCTTAATTTGGTTTTAGGACAGCCTCATTTGACTTTGTGAGGCCTTAATCTGTTATGTTCTGCTGGCTTTTTCAATCCCCGATGCATCCATACTGGTGGTCTCGATGAGTTCCTCAGATAGAGGAGTACGGTTTGAGCTACTGCCGCATGGCTACATTTTTCAAATCCGCCATCTAGTTGCATGTTATGGCATTACTTCTTATAGTCCGTTTTGTTTTTGCTCCAACATTTATAAAAATGTACCAGTTTCATCTGTAGTACAGATTGCTCCACATTGTCCATTGTTGAACGATTTGGTGAGTTCGACATAATCTTTCGGACACACGGCCGTCTGTCGAATGCCTGATTTGAGGAGTAACACATGCACTACCTCATGTTATCGTCGGGTTTATCCGCTCAGAAGTGCAAAGTAACAAAATCCGCGTCAGATAACGCCGTTGTATGCCATGTTGAAGTGACACAACGTTAATAGACCGCTAAACCTACCATGTAAGATGCTTAGGTCTATATCGTCGTCAAACCGACAAGCATATAAGGCTTCTGCTGAAATAAACCGCCACAGGAGAAGTAGGAAGCTTGGATCAGTCATCCTTAGAAAAACTCGTTTAGCGAACTTTTTTCATCCGTAAGTATTCCGTCGTTACAAAGGATGTCGCATATTGTCTTTCGTAAGCCCCATCCCATTGAAAAGTGTTTATAGTTGATTCTAATAGACCGCTAATTTGCTGTGCACCTCTTGTTACTCATGTGTTGTTTGTCTTCTTGTTACATGTATCATAAGATTACACTGGAAATTTCTAGTAATAAAATGAACTATACCCGATGGAGCGATCTGTATAGTTTGATATGTATATCACGGCGACCGCAAATATACAATCTTTGTCTCCTCTCATATGACAAGTTCAGGTTAAGAAGGTGATTTTGAATGAGTGTATCATCCACATCTTCTTGTCTACCACCATGTTTGTTCCAGCTCGACCAACCCGTCTCAGCTGGATCGCGTGGGCTAAGACACTTCCTTCATGGAATCGATGATGACTTACGTCAAACACACCGGAAACAGCTGTTTGCCGTAGATAGCACAATGCTTCGTCAGGCAGCTGAGCGCCTATCTTCAAACGCGCACCTTGCGGGTCGTGCAATTCTCGGCCCAGAGGAGAGCACAGATTGGTCGTCGATCGATGAAGATTCCAATCTCAAGTGGGAACGCATTGTCATGCGAGACTGAACCGTCGGTCGTGCTCCACCACTATCATAGCCCTCTCCCTACATGGAGTTCATTCGTAGATATCTTACCTGAGCACGATTTTGTACATGTACATCCTGAAAAAAATGGCATGGCTACTGATCATCCCTCACACCTGTTATCGTGGCTTTGGGGCAGTTGCTTTGACTGTTTGTTGCTTCGGTCGCTCTGGATTTTCGCCATTTCTCAAATCCATCGTTAAACTTGCAGGTAATTCACTCGCGTATGATATTGTGAAGAGACCTTTGGCCAGCTTGCGAAAAGTTTGCGTTTTAGAGGAAGTATCACTTCTTTTAAGGATTAGAATTGGCAACAAAATGCTCTAGTTTGTGTTCCGTCGTTTCATTCAATTTCGCGGTGCTTTAACATGCATATTGATGAGATTTGTTGAGAGCCATTCAACTAAAAACTTGGCGACCATCGGTGGCTAGTCAACTCAAGTTATTGAAAAACGTTATAGCTTCTCTAATGATGCTTCAGCAAAATTGGAGTGGTAAGGTATTCATTTATTCATATTATCTGATATGCCCTGGATGGATGAGGCAATAATAGTAAGAAGAGAAGTAAGTAAAGGCAGGTGACGCGTTTCAAGCATTGTCCACGGAAAATCTGTCAAGCCTAATGAAAAGGCTGCCCATCCATCCTTCTGCTGTTTACTTCTTGACTGGCTGATTATTTCTGAAGGACGCCTTCAAACCGTCTTATACTTCGGTCGTAAGACAGACGCACTGATCAACGAGAAATCTCAACGGTGATTTCGTTATTTCGCTCAAGGCGATCTCGCTGGTTGTTTCCTAGTCTGAATTAAGATTCATTCGACCTGGTAATATGCTCACTGAATATTTGTGTCAAAAAAGAAATGTTGCCCCACAATACAGGCACGGATCTTTCAACAAACCCTTAAAACCCAAACGAAACCTGTATTTCTGCATTAATAAGCGACTTCTATATTTCATCCAAAATGATCCAATGGGCGAAAGAATGATCGAACACAGCCATTTTAGAAGTCTTTGGAAGACAGCTGGAATCAGGAACCGTTGTTGTGATCCAACCGCACACTCTCTGTCATGTCTGGATCAGCCTGCCGAATGGCTGAACAGCGGTGTATACGTGGTCAGCAGATGACATTCGCAGTAATGATGAAAACAACAACTCCGTTTTTTCTGGGTCAATAAGCAGGTTGGTTCGATCGGTTGGTGAAAGGGGTTGAATCATGGGATTCAGTGCAACTAAGTCAAACCAACCAGTCTTGTGTTCAGTATTTTGCCCTAAGCGTTTGATGGTCATCCAGACAATAGATTTTCTAGAGCAGCTGTCTCATCCAGAATCCACCTAGAGATCTGTCTCGTTTGAACGTATCGAAAAGCCATTCAGAACGCCATAACTCATGAAGATGACCAATTGTTTCCATTGAAAAAGAGTAAGAAAATAAAGACGAAGTAATCCCTTATGCTACAAGCAGGGCAATAAGACATTTGGAGAGTCCTGCACCTAAAAGTAGGCTAGTATCTAGAAGACTGGTAGAATGCACCCTTGAAATTATTTCCATTCTGGCGATTTACATTGGTCAGAAAAAAACGAACAAGGGATTCGAAGATTTGTGTTTTTCCTGGTAAATAAATGAGCGTACAGAACGCACACTTCATTACATGTCCTTATCCATTGTTCACTTTATTTATGTAGGATAGGCATAATATATGTGTTTATCCGTCCACATTTGGTCGTCCACCATGAGCCTCACCATTGGACTCGTACTAACAGTGAATGATGTAAATCTTATGACTGTGATCCCAATGGTGCTTACAGGATGCCTGGACATGACTGCGGTGGGAGAAATGGAATGCAGAGCTTGTATAGACGTATCGGAACAAGTGAACTAATTTCACCATTCGTTTTAGCTGCTGAACGCGTTCTGTTGATAACTCACAGCACCGCTTAATCCCCTGACCACACAGCATCGTGGGTCCGACCGGTTTCTACTAGGCTTATACCTGTCTTTCAACCAAAATGTGATAATACTAAGTGGGCTACTGTGTCGATCGTTAACGTCAGCTATGTCCTCACTGTTACGAAGCATGTGGAGTATCAGCTAGATTTATGAGATGATTTGTTTATGCATTGTGTGTTCCATATAAATCTGGCCGCGTGTGTCCTTCAGGATGGTTGATTAAGGTAGTTCTATAGTGGATATGAGCACCTGAGCATTAAGGAAATCAGCAATAATAACTAAAGATTTCACCTGCTTATCGTAAGCCAAATATTTCGGTATCTAAATGTCAGTTTCTGAAATCTCCAAAAACAACTTAGTCAATCGACCAAACAGCGTAATTTTGATTGACATTAATAGATGTTTTGAGCCGACAAAGAGTAATCGTTTCAGAGATTTTCGCTGAACACCAGTTGCTTAATTCACCGACTTTACAAAACCCCTCTTTGACCCTAAGCGACACCGTTTTGTATGTCCCAGAAGTAGGAATACTATAGGAAGTTTGGATAGAGCGAAGCTGATTATGTCCTTCAACTGGGTTCATCGTTGTTGAAGTCTACTCGATCTGTTCAACAAGCCGCTCTGAATGATCTACTGACATGTGGATGATGCTATATTCGGGTGATTCTCATGAACCGCATATGAGAATTGGGTAGAGGATCAATGATGAGTGGGCTTATCAGCCACGGCTAGATCTTTTTTATGCATCATATTCAAATACCCTAAATGGTTTACTGTTACATACATACATACATACATACTGTTACATACTGTTTACATACCTCAACATTATAAAGGCGGCTGAAAACTCGTAATAGGAGGTGCTAATCATAGTTTTGTGGTTTGCCAACCACCGAACCTGAGGTATGTTGGTTTCAGTGAATTTTGACACACCACCATCTCCATAATTCTTCCCAACTAAACTTTCTGTTAATCCTCAGATTTTTTGTATTTCTGTCTCAGGTCGGGTGCAAGTCATCTGCCTACCTCAGCGTCATCTGCTCATGATAGCTTCCGTTTAACTTGTTCGCTACATGTAAATGTCAGCTCACTATTCTCGTTTGGCAACGCGGGAACGCAGGGGCATACGATCGACGCCCATACGGCGGCATTCAGTGAACAACTCGATAACTGCGTAGTCCATGGTATAGTTTCAAAAAAAATAAGCATGCACTTGGGAGGACGAAAGCGTAATTACGCGTAGAGAAATAGTGGAGCGAAATTCCGAATGCATAAGCCGGTAGGTGTGTGATATCACAGTGTGATGGAAGAATCACTTAACGTCTCCCGGAGTGTTCATTTTGTTGCGAAGCGGATGTGTCAGTACACCACTGAAGCTGCTGGACTACTCAAGGCAACATTTATTTTCTAGGCTTAAATTTAAAAGATTTCCATTTCCATTTCTAGCCAACTGCAGATTTTTCAAGTTGGCGGTTTTCGTTACTTGGTGTGCCCAATATTTCTGAACCATCGGAGAAATCGGGTGGACTTTATCAGAAGGTGATACACGTTAAGTACTCTTGAAGTTGGATAAAGTTCGGAGAAGTGAGCGTTATGCGGTAGCGTTCCATTGAACTTTAATTCAGGTGACCAGAACGAATTTTCAGCGAAAGAATGATCTCCTTTGGTTTCAGTTTATCACCACTGAACCCTCATTATTGGGAACCCTCAATTAAAGATGTATGTAAGCGGAGATTGTTGTGCATTGTCCATAAATGACAGAAATCATCCGAGTGTACCCTGTATGTGGATTTGCCAACGACTGCAGAGGTTTTATTCTGCAACAATTCCTCAGAGAACAGCTTGCCTGTATCTGACCAAGTTCCACGGATTTGAACAAACCTGGCACTAGTGGCCAGTAGATTTCATTTAGAAGTGGGTGGGCTGCTGTTACATTCCTTATCCCTGGAAAATCCCGGTCCCATGTTAGTAACCTGCGGTTTTATGCCATTCGAATACCGAGAGCGTGTGAGCGCAAGCAGTTTTTTTCACTCAACCGTGTTCCGTCTTGCTGAACTGTGTTACGCACAGAACCCGGGTTAGCCGAGTAACCGTTAATGATCACTAACCAGCAGCAAGCATCGAAGGTGTCATCTCTTTGTACCGAATGTGTCTGGGAATATCACCGTTAACGAAAACCTGAAGCCTTAAAACAGCTGTAAGCATCATCCAATGAATACAAATATTTCTACTGATTTCATTTCTGTATGTTTATCCTGTGTGAAACAATCAGAACAATGGACTTGGATTTGAGGAGTGAACTAGTCAATGAGCAACCGATCACTGGGCACGCTCTTGGTTGTTTCAGACTAGTAGATTTTCAAGAACAACCTGCTTCTTTTTAGCCAGAATTCATTGTGCAGTCTCGTTGATGTTCCATAACCGAACAAATCGACATGTCTTGACATCAGAATACACTATTAAGCCGTCTGTAGTCCTCATTTTAAAAATTAAATCCCAGTAGAATAATGAATTAGTAGGCACGTTTTACAGTGAGACACATGACCGGTACTATCCATATATTTTTTTTCTGAATGGGAGTCTATATCATCTGATATTCTGGACACATGGCGACCTGTTTTTCTCACAGTATGTCACACACAATTACCAGGGGAATCATTATAAATTTAGTGGGCTCATTGAAGCGAACCATTTTCATAATGGATGCTTTGTACGTGGGAGAAATGTGCGCTTTTTGGAACGGTTATTGCAGTCCACATAGCACACATGTACGTGAAGGTTTGCTTCAGAGTTTGATCCATCTAATGATGGACGGCCTATTTCATGGTCACCGTAATTCTGCTTGTTAGATATTGATAAGGCCAATCTTCATGGTTGATCACCTGATTTCCGGAGCAGCTACCTTGATGTTTTAATGATATGCACACATAGACCGATCACCCCTCCACGTTGATCACTTTCACTAAAACTGATATAAGATATATGCTTAGTATGTTAACATTTGTTTCACTCTCTTCAGCCACGAAGCAAAGCATCCGAGTTGTGCAAATAAGGAGTATAAACAATGTCTAGCAGACACTGATTGGTTAATTTCTGAAAGTCACCTAATCAATGCCTCGGTAAGAGAATGTCTGGCTATTGACGATACAGGACTGCGATTCGACCTTTGACCAGACAGTTTTACCGATAGCATTTGGATCACACACTGT